ATCCTCTACCACCAGGCCTGGCCGTCTCCCGCCGTCTAGAAACCCTCCTTCTATAAAGGCAGGGCTTCCATTCTATAGTTGTCCCCAAAAGCATTGCATTGTGATGGACTTAGTTTAGAATCTGGTCAATCTTTTAACAGACATCTATATATACGTTCTATCGTACCTATGTATATATATATAGAAAGAGAAAGAGAGAGAGAGAGAGAGAGAGAGAGAGAGAACGAGAGAGATAAAGAGATAGTGTGAGAGAACAAGAGAGATAAAGTGTGAGAGCGAGAGAGATGGATGGATGGATAGATAGATAGATATATATATAGATATAGATTGATCGATAGATATATTCTGTGTGCGTGACATCACATTACATTGGTGCGTCGTTACAACACTTGCAGGCGGGCGTCGATGACAGAGCCGCTGCAGTACAGCCCCATCAAGCCCAACGGCATCGAGCTGCGCGCCAGCAGCAGCAGCGCCTTCTGCCCACTCACAAAGAACTACTATCAGGTGCTGGACGATCACACTACTACCAACCACCAGCGGCGCTGCCTGCAGGCCGGCGTCGAGAGCCAGTGACGGGAGACGACGCCGGGGCATCGATGGATCATCACGATCGGGCGCTCGAGCGCCGTCGCCGCGTTCGACGGGGAAAACGCCAATAACTAGGTTTTATCGTACGTGTGCGCGTGCGCCTGCAACAGGCCAGTGGTGGGGGTGGGCGGGGCGGGGGGGGGGATGGAGGAGGGGGGTTGCAGTTGGATCGGTTTTATGATCTGCGTAAATCGGCTTTTGTGTCGCGCCGCGTCGTCGGTTTTTGCGAAGAAGAGGCGGCGAGAGAGCGATTCGCCAGCTGTCGCTGTCTCGTTACACCATGTGTAATTGGCCACGTTCCCGAGCTAAAACTGCCTTCGTGTAAAGATTGTGAAAACGTTGTGTAGAGAGCTAGTGTTGTGTACATAGTAGAAAAGGCAGTGATGGAACTGTGAGAAAAAGAGGAAAAAGGTGTAAAATTGGAATTGGAAAAATGGTTTCCTACCACAATTGGCAAAGGAATTTTGTGAAATATAGAATTAGAAGAAGAAGCACTCGTTATTTGTCGTCTATTTTCGATCTCTTTTTTAAAAATCTCGGTGTAGTTTTTGCAGTGTTAGGGGGTCGTATCAGGTTTTGGTAGCATGTTAATGGCATGTGGCTTCCTATTTATATATGACGTGGGAAGGCCAAAAAGCGTTGGAAAGAAGTGGCGGGTGTGAGTTTAGGCAGCTCACTGCTGTACTGTTCTTGCATTTGCACTAGGGGGCCTGTGACCGCAAATGTTTGACGCATTCGCGGGTGCGGCATAGCTGTTGGGTTCTATAGCCAAGCATTCGTCTTCTTGTACGACAGACTGTAGCGCCCTCTACATTATTTGTGTCTATGTCGTCGGTGTCGTTGTATAGAGCATAGTCGTCATAGTTTGTTGCAGTCACTTCACTCAGATTCTGTACGTTAACTTAGTATAAACCTGCCGCATTGTCTTTAATTCTACCTCTGTTGTTACCATGTACTTGCATAGATTTGATGTAAATACCTATCGTATATTTTTGCACCATGTAGCACGCACGTCGCAGGGGGGTGGGTGCGCGCATGCATTGTCCAGCATACTGTGGAGAGGGGGTGTGCGCATGCATTGAGGAGCAGGCACTGTATGGGTGAAGGCATGCGATGTGTGTGATGTGCATTGCGAGGGTGCAGCTCTGGCTTGTGCAGCAGACGCTAGCAGGAATGTTCTGTATTATGCAACATACGCTATGTGAGTGCAGGTACCTTATGCCGCAGAGAGGGTACGTATTCATACTCGGTATTGCTCCACGCTGACGGGCAGTTTTCACTGTCACTGAGTGACACACCCCAGCCGCTGCGTTCAGTGGGTGAGAACACAAACTCTCTGCTGAGCACTGGTGTTTGCTGGGGGAGGGGCCCGACATCCTATCCGGTGCTGGCGAGTTGCAAAATACACTTTCCTCTTTTTATACGGATAGAACGTTTATAAGTGTTGCGTTCAGTGCTGCGCAGTTCGCCATCGGGACAGCTTTGTGTTTGCTTGTGCCAGGCGCACGCATGCCGGTACCACACTTCTAACTCTAACATTCCCCCTGCCCACCCGAAGACTGAGTGTTCGCCCGCTGGATGGCGCCACTCATCCGTGAACGTGAACGTGTGATGAACGTGACCTTTGACCGATTTTTGTCTGCCGACGGAGGCGTGCTGTGCTCATGGTGATCTCAGGCGAGGCAAATCTGCTCGCCTGTCATTCAGTACCGTATGTATATGTACGCATATGTGTATATATACGTGGTATCCGTCTGCTCTTGTCTCCACCATCCCATAGTAAGATATACGGACAAATATTTAACGTGTATGTATTATAGAAAGTTGTCTTCGATAGGCCCCCTGTATGGACACAGAATGAGGGAGAGTAACCCCAACGTTGACGTTCTGTCAGTAGAAGTTTACATGATATGTGTCATGTCATTCCAATGTGTTTAGGCGAGTTTTTAAAGGTAGTTTTTTGAGAGTAGCATGTTTAGAATGTCTGTTAAAAATGAGATGTAGTTTGTATATTGAGATGTTTTGTAAGGATCCCTTTGAGAATCGTACCGTTTTATAAAGTTGCAATGAGTAGGACTTGCTCCCTGTGAGATTCAGTCCGACAATATATTGTATGTTTTAGGATGTTTCACGTAAATTAATTCAGAATTTTTGTGTGATGATATTACTATCGTTAAATGTTTACCTCTACTTCTTATTCTGCAATCTAAATAACGTTATTTCAGCGATAGAGAGGGAGAAAGTGTGCGCGAGAGGGGGGATGAGACGGCCCACCCTATGTTCTTGGGTAAAAGTGTACACAGAGGTGAACCATATGTTGTGTGTGTCGTGTAAGTTATATCACGTCTCGGTGACTCCAGTTTGCATTGCGGTGTTGACTCCTAGTTACCTTACTAGATTTGAAGTTGTAAATTTGCATTAGTTGAAGTTTTGTTCCAAGGGTTAATACCGCATGCAGCCAACAGATGGCAGCAGTGGTCGCCAATGAATATACATGGAGAGAGAGAGAAACGCGGGCACATTGTGTTCTGCCGAGACATTTTGCAGTTCTTTTATCATTCTTGTACCATGGTTTGCCTTATGATCGACTGTTAGGGCAGTGGGACGATTACCTTAGGCAGAGAGTGTTGCCCGCCTCGTTGTTTCAGTGTAATTGGCCCGCAAACCATCTATCATCATCATAGCTACTTGTGTAAGAAGGCAGGAGTTGCGGTGGAGGGACCGTCACGTCGTCGCTGGCTCGAGAGATGGGGGAAAGGTCATTTGGAGGTCGCGTGCATGAGCGTGTGGTCGCGAAGGAGAGTGCGAGCGAGCGAGCGTGCGTGCACGGTCTGAAGGCCCTTGGCACCAGCACGGACGTGTGTGCGTGCGAGATCTTGAGTGCGTGACTAGAGTTGGGCATGTAGGGAGACGTGCTGTGTGCGAGGTGTGAGAGTAGAGAGTGAGCGGAGTGGCTTACCCAAGCTTGTGCTAGCCGTCGCGGCCCGGCGTTGATCGCCGGGTCAGGCAGAGGCGACCCCACCTGGTGGCTCGCGACGGTACTGACGAGTCGCCTCCATCCCAGCTGCTGTTACCTGTCTAGCCGAATCGACTACCTAAGACTTTCTACATAGTCTCAAGCAATACTGTGCTAGTAAGTATGACTTTAAAACACAGTACTCAAGAAATAGCTGTGCCCCTGTGGGAGGAGTTTGGGATGGAGCTGATAGCAGGGGTCACCTGCAGAGTGAGAGAGAGTGGCGGCGTACGCGACGTCTGCTTTTTGGACTGGTGTTTAAACGAGTGGTTTCTTGAGAACGTAGTTCTTATCAAGAAATACGGTCAGTGTATTTATTTTTTGTAAAGTGTTACAAGGAGTTTCCTGTTCAAATTAGAATATTTCCAGTAATATCAATAAAAATTTATCATTGATACGTAAACTTCCCAATTTTGTGATTTCTTTTGTGCGTACTATGCCTACATGTTAAGCAGTAGAGAGTAGCGCTCTACATCGCCTTCATCGACCTAGTCATCAGAAAGGGCCTTTTCACACTGCTCCGAAAAATTAGCTGTCCACCTACGTTCCTAAAGAAGACTCCTCCATCACGCCATTCCACGAACACATATGCAAGGCGCTGTCCAGTACGACGGCTCATTCTCGGATCCCTTTCCAATCAACAACGGTGTAAAGCAAGGCTGTGTACTCGCTCCTACACTATTTGGCATCTTCTTTTCTCTGCTGCTTCCACATGCATTTCGCTCATCAGACGACGGTGTGTACCACAGCACACGCAGTGATGGAAGACTGTTCAACCTCGCGCATCTTCGCGCAAAGACCAAGGTACAACGAGTACAGATCAGGGAAACGCTGAAAAGAAGTGATAGGAAGAGGGATGAGCAGTGGGCCGAGAAAAGAACATTCAGGATCACAGCTGGATCAGGTGCATACATGCAGCATCTGCAACAAGGCCTGGCGTTCCAGAATCGGACTGCATAGTCACAGCAGGCGCTGCAAGGACCAAACCACGGTGCAAAACTCCATTGTCTCCCGAGACAGACGGATGCCAACAACAGCTATGCCTACATGTTAAGCAGTAGTGAGTAGTTAAACAGTACACTTTGCACACAACTAATCAACTGAACAGCATAAAATTACAAATACACAATTATACACTTTATTCTTATAAGCTATACATACGTATACATTCGTTATTGATAATGCTAGACTGCAATAACAACTTAATTGCACAAGTTCCATATGCGCTATTATTCCTGTTTTCTGGCGCGCAAAACCGCCTCTGCCAACTAACTGAAATCCAAAACTCAGATTATTATTCTATGGGACATTTATTTCCCAATACAGAAGAATATCGGTTGGCACTGCACAACACGCATGACGTATATTTGAGCATGTGCTGCCACCAAGTGGCTCATTCAGAGAATTGGGCGTTGGACACTGGCAGAAATTTCCCCTCGTAGAATTCTATCACAAAACTCGTACTGAACTCCTACGACTTAGCAATTGTACGTATAGTTCCGCTCCTTTACGCTAAAGTCTAACCGCTACCCACTACTCTTGCCCCCTACACTGGCATTAACAGCACACATTTAAATGTTCGACCAACCAAGGAGACAACTTTAGACGACATTTACACTGCTAAGGGAAGTCGCACGCCGCCAGTCAGTAGCAGGCACTGCTTGCTGGATACATGCGACATAGCCAGGACTGAATGACCGCACGCACGCACGCACGCACACGTCGGTTTACAAAAAAACATTATCTTACGCGCCGCAAACTATACATTCCTGACAACTGTTGTGAATGACTGACTGACTGACTGACTGTACAAAGAGAGAGAGATACGCCAAGTACACGTCTTAAACATGTACACAAAGTATACGCTCACATCTCCCTCCACCTTCTCGGATGTGTGAGCAAATTCGCATGTATGTACAGATATATATATATAATATACTGTATATATATGTCGTGACTCAAGCGAGGTTTGTGTAATCAAACAGGCGGCATCACGCCCGATATAGCACGGTGTATGTAAGCGACCTATTCAGCTGAGCAAGATAGCACCTACCGGATATTGATGTGGGGGCACCTTGCTACATCAAGCAGGACCGATTTGTATGTGACGCTTCGTCACCAAGCAGCGTTTTTAGAATGCCACCCCCCCGCAAAGCAGATAGGTCGATCGTGTGACTGGCATACGTACGACAGCAAAGACTGACAAACGACAACTGCACATCAAACGAAAAATAAAATTCCAACTGACCTCTTGCTAACACGGGTATATAATTGCCATAAAATTACAAAAGCACAATCCTCGCACGCAGACGCGAACTAACGCTAATTCCCCCGCTAGCACAAGGCGTCCGTGGACATCAGTGGGCTTCACACATTGAGCACAATCCGATAGCGACTACAGAACTATAAAGGACGCCCACATACTTAAACACTGCTAATAAGGCATGAAGGCAAGCAGCCGTTCCTTCTGCCTCCAGTAGATGGCGCTGTGAAACCGAATGCCAAACGTCTGCAACGCTAAAGCGCGAGGAATGCTTTGAGCGGTAGGCGGTAGGTAGTCGCCGCGGCGATCACCGTTCTAACGCGTCCGACGCCGACGCTGCTGCCAAATACCCACAAAAGCATTAAACCTCGCCAGGAAACGCGCGAGCGAGCGTGCGAGCGTGCGACGCGGTGGCGGCGGCTAGCCGTAGCACCTGGTTCCGGGAGTTCCGTCGATGAGAGTTCTGCGGTCGAATGTCGACGCTGTTCTCTCCGCGCTGCTGCGCATGCGTCACGTCGCTGTGGCGACCAGTCGCACGTGTCACGACGAACGCACGCGTCGCTCGCTGCGTCGCCGTGGCGCACTCTTCAACGTTCGACGCACCTCACGTCCGTCCGACGTTGGTGCGCATACATACATACCAATATAGAACTAGATAACGTAATAGATGCCGGTATCTACACCAGTCTAGTTACAGATATAGTCAGCTTGCTGCTGCTTCCGCACATCTCCTGCTGATCATGAACCTTCCGGCTCTTGACGAGCTTCTTGCCGCCCGCGTCGCGTGACGTCACCGCCGCCTCCGCCTCGCCGCGATCCCACTGCTGCATGCGCGTCGCCCCGGCGACCACGTCGCACGCGCCAAAGTCGCGGCGAGCGGCGCCCTCTACGCTGCTGTGGCTGTACTTGAGCGCGGCGCGGCGCATCGTCGTGGCGACGTCGACGGCAGACGCGCGCTCGCACAGCCGGTCCTCGATGCTGACGCTGCGACGCTTCGCCGCGCCGGCGGCGCCGGACTTGCGGCCGCCGCGCACCTCGTACGATCGCCGCGACGACACCGAGCGACTCGAGCGGATTGACTGTGGCGACTCCTGGTTGCGGCGCGCGGAAGCGGCACGCTCGTGTTTCTCGACGTCGGCGTGGACCTCCATCACCATGCAGTACTTACTGACGCTGTCCGCCTTGTCCGGCCTGCAGACAGCAATAATAATAATATTAATAACAATGATAATAATAATAACAATAATGACTATTATTATTATATTAATAATAATAATAAAAGAAAAAAAGAAAGATGATGATGATGACGACGACGACGATGACGATGATCAGGCATCAAGGCAATCTACCGCAACAGGCTAACAATAATGAACACATTACATGATGCCGCATGATGCTGACTGTCACACCACGACTCAGAGAACCAAAGCCATCACGTACCGTGTTGCCACGGTAGGTCTGTAAAGCGTAAAGAGTGATCCGCCAGCTATACAGTCGATATCGGGTCGGCAAATCGACCGTGTACCCGTCTCAGTGAGATTACCATGTCCCCTCTTGGATATCGTCACCCGGTCCATCCACATACGTCTGTACGCGTTTTTCTCATGCGCGCGCCAATTTCGCACACTTCATTACAGCATATTGTCGGTGAGAACATCCCCGATCACAGTGATTGATTAGAGGCCCCCCGTCAATCACACCCAGTGGAAATCCCCCCGAATTACCTCATCTCGAGAGTCCGTGCTTATTACTGATTCTTAGTACGTGGATTTCACCCCGCGAGCGTGGCAGACACACGCCGACAACTTGTTGTTTGCCTTGCTCCACACGGGTAGCCAATAGCCCCGACGCTGGTATACGGTTGTCACGCTCACGGGGAAATCCACGTAATATGAACGCAATAACAATGGACTCTCGAGATTAGATAATTGTTAAACGGCAGTCCGTTATTAGTCCGTGGTTAGTACGCGGGATTCAATGAATTTTTCAGTGGACTGTAACTTAGTCCGTCCAAGTCCGTGGCTCTCCGTGCATTTCCCACCATTTACGTGTTTAGTCCGTGTTTTTTTTAATCAAAAAAGTTCGAAGTCAAATCAGTAATATGTTTGCTAATTTAAATGATTATATTTGAAACTAAAGCAGAAATTTTTCTTTCTATCATTTTGAAACAAGGTGGCTCCTACTTACATGCTACATGCCTCCGTTTATTCCAGTTAATAGTGGAAATCTTTGTTACCGAAGAAATTTTTTATCTACCGTAAGCGCATGCCCGAGCTATGTGTACTAGAAAAGACTCCATTTGCTATAGTCGTCAGACATTCGTCCGAAAGTATTAGAAGTGAGGTGACTCACTGGTGGCTTACTGACTCACTCGGTATAAACCCCATCAGTGCGCACATGCTGGCATTGTCCCCAGCGAGACGGTGGGTAGCTTGAAGGTACACTACGAGCAAAAGGGATTGACACTACGGATGGCTTACCTGAGCATCTAGCTAGCTAGCCGTGAGCCACCGACATAACGCCATACTGCCAATGTCCCCAGCAAGATGGAGGGTAGGAGGAAAGTGAACGGAGACTGACAGGCAGCTTACTTGAGCGACTGGCTAGCTATGGATCCAGCTAGTGCACACGTATATGGTTGGCCACGGTGGACAAAAATCAAGAATACATGACTACATATTTATGGTCACCATAAATCATATTTATGGTCACCATAAATCATATTTATGGTCACCATAAATCGACCAATGGGAAGCGAGGATTATATGCCCGGATATAATCGAAGCCAATCAAATCAAAGGAATTATGTCCACCATAAATAACTTCCGTCCCCGTTTTGACCGTGTCTAGACGCATTGTCTGGTTCACTATTGATATCAATGTAATGGCATGTATGCTACAGCGCTTGCAAATTAATGCTAATGGCCTGCGCCCGCTGAGATTTTTACGTCTGGCTAGACTGGTTCGCGGCCGAACTGTCCGTCGCAGAGCGCTGTACATTGTGTAGCAGAGCGTGAGGCCGGATACCAGTCCAATACATTATGCAATTGTAAAACGGGGACGGAAGTGTAAAACGGGGACGGAAGTTATTTATGGTGGACATAATTCCTTTGATTTTTTGGACGGAAAGTGGTCAAAAACGGGGACGGAAGTTATTTATGGTGGACATAATTCCTTGATTTGATTGGCTTTCGATTATATGCGGGCATAAAATCCTCGGCTTGCCATTGGTCGATTTATGGTGACCAATAAAATATGTAGTCATGTATCTTGATTTTTGTCCACCGTGGCCAACCATACACGTACTTGCATTGTCTCTAGCGGAACAGTGGGCATGTCAAAGTACTAGGTACACAGGCTTCCCAAGCGACTGGCTAGCTATGGATCCAGCTAGCGCGCACGATCTTGCATTGTCTCTAGCGAAACAGTGGGCAGGTCAAGGTACTAGGTGCACAGGCTTCCTAAGGCGACTGGCTAGCTATGGATCCAGCTAGTGCACACGTACTTGCGTTGTCTCTAGCGGAAGCAGTGGGCATGTCAAAGGTACTAGGTACACAGGCTTACGCTAAGCGACTGGCTAGGCTATGGATCCAGCTAGTGCACACGTACTTGCGTGTCTCTAGCGGAACAGTGGGCATGTCAAAGGTATCTAGGTACACAGGCTTACCTAAGGCGACTGCTAGCTATGGATCAGCTAGTGCACACGTACTTGCGTTGTCACCCAGCGAGACGGTGGTGGTGGAGCAGCGTTCGCTCAGGCTGGCCGTCGCCGACTCACTGCTCAAACTGAATCTCTTGTTCGGCTGGAACTCTGAGTGTACGTCTAACCTGTAACGCCGTACACACAAACACGTGAATTTACACCCCCGCGCAAGCTACGTGCACAACGGCATTACACACACGGTGATCCAGGCCGGTGCCTAGACACCTAGGCACGCTTAGACACTCACACACACACATACACTCTGACAGGTGTATCTGTACAGGTCTAGCATAAATAAATACGCACACGCACGCACGCACGCACGCACACACACACGAACACACACACGCACGCAGCACACACGCGGCACACACCACACACACGCACCCACCCCATCCCCACACACGCACGCTGTTGTGGTAGCCGCTGGGCGGGCGCCGTGCACGTGCTGCCACACACGCACGACGCACGCACGCACGCACGCACGCACCGCACGCACGCACGCAACGCACCACGCGCACGCACACACACACACACACCACACACACACACACACCTGTTGTGTGTAGCCGCTGGGGCCTGCGGCGCCGTGCACGTGCTGCCGCACACGCACACGCACACGCACACGCACACGCACACGCACACGCACACGCACACGCACACACACACCACACACGCACACGCACACAGCACACGCACCACAACACACACACGCCACCTGTTGTGGTAGCGCGCTGGGCCGGGCGCCGTGCACGTGCTGCCGCACACACACACACACACACGCTACGCGCGCGCACACCACATACGCACATACACACACACACACACACACAACGCACTTGTTGTGGTAGCCGCTGGGGCCGGCCGCGCCGTGCACGTGCTGCCGCACAGGCCAACACACGCAGCGCACGCACACGCACACGCACACGCACACGCACACGCACACGGCACACGCACACGCACACGACAACACACACCCACCAACACACACACACAACCACGGCGGGTGCAGGCACCAGGCTAGCACGCAACTGTTGTGGTAGCCGCTGGGGCCGGGCGCCGTGCACGTGCTGCCGCACAGGCTTCCCGTGAGGCTCTCGCCGGCGATGGCGACGTTGCTCGCGCTGTCGTGGTCCTCCTCCCCGTCCTCGCCGCCCCGCACGCCGCGCAGCAGCGTCACTGCGCCGACGCCGACGCGGTCCATCTGCCCGCTGCTCACCGTCATCATGGACACCTCGCCTATACTCGGGTTGGCGACGTTGTGGTTCGACATGCTGCGCGCGTCTGCAAACAATTAAATATAATAGTTGTATTATAGTTTAGTAAGAGTTTTTCCAATTGAATTCATTCGTTTTTCAATTAAATTAATCGCCATAAATTAATCGCCGTGTCTGCAAAAAATTAATTAAGTTTTTCCGATTGAACTAATTGTTTTTTTTCCGATTAATAAAATTATGTTCATTATTATATAGTTTAGTAAGCTGGAATTGACACATGATTTTACAGAAGGTTGGGTTAGTGACGTTGTAATTAGACATGCAGACGCAGACGTCGATTAATCCAAAATTAATTAGTTTTAAAAATAAATTAATCATTATATAGTTTAGCAAGCTGGAATCCACCCATGACCTCCCCCCCCTGCTCCTCGGCCACCACTTCCACACGCTGCGCATCCCGCAAAACACGTAGATGAACAGTCCTGACCTCTAACAGCAGCTGCTGTAATACGACTCTAATAAGTGCTGCCTATAGCGCTAGTGAATGCAGAACGCGCCGCCATCAGCCGACAATCGGCAGAGCGTAACACGAACTTCCGCGATGGCTCGCACGCTTATTCAATACGATATACGTGCGCATTATGCTCGTATCTTGTACGGCTAACACCCGCAACACGACGCGTGTGCTTTCACGCGTACAGTCCCCACTCTATACTATACTACGTAAATGTATCACGAGTCATTATAATTAATGACAAATTCAGGTAATTAGCCTCTTTTTTCTTACTTTCAGCCTCTAGCTGTCTCTTGTCAAGCTGCACGAAGTTGATGGACTTGACAAAGACAGTGAGACCAGTTGTCAAAGCCACTGCTAATAGGTTAATTACTTGTATACATATGCCAAAAATGACATTTCTCTTAATTAAATCCTGCGAACCCTCTACAATGGGTAAGTGCAGTTTTGCCGAATAATGTGTGACACCTGTCGCGTGACGTGTGTCAGTGACATCCGTGTGACAGATTGCCAGGATGACACTGTGTGTGATTATTGAGGACAAGTTGCGTGTTTGAAAGGAGGATTTGTGGCAAGGCAAACATGGATGGCACGCATGCAGCCTCCCACAGGGAACCCCGTAATGTCAGCAGTCTGATCAGGAAGAAGTACTAGGATTTTACCAGCAGGTAGAGCCACAGCTATCAATAACAACTTCCTGGATCATGCCGTACCTGGCGTAGCATCCTGGCTACCTATTGTTATCTTGTATTGGGTA